GCAATATGAAGGAAGCTTCTACGAGGAACTAGAACGTATATTCGACAAATTGCCTAAATACCATCTGGAAATTTTGCTAGGAGATTTCAGTGTCAAAGTAGTTAGGGAAGACAATTTCAAATCAACAATTAGGAATAACAGTTTACACAAAATCAGTAATTACAATAGAGATAGAGTAGTAAATTTGCTACATCCAAAAATCTGACTTCCAAAAGTACCATGTTCGTAAGTCGTAATATTCGTAAATATATTTGGACATCTGATGAAAAAACTTACAATCAAATTGACAGTATTTTTATAGACATGAGCCCGTATCAGAGTTTACTTTGATGTCCGATCATTCAGGACAGCAAGATGTCATACTAACCGTGTCTGATAATGGCAAACATTAGGAAGAGACTGGACGTAAAAAAAAGCGTACAGAATTCATATAGAGAGTTCGCTCTCAAAAATTAAACGAAGCAGAGGTTAAAGAGCATTAAAAAAAAAGGAAAGCTATCCCTGTAGCATGCCGTGGAGGCCCATAGGGTTGTGAGACGTCGAGGCTCCCACATTCTCTAGACAATCGGCTCAAAGATGGCGGTAAGGTTGTCGGCCTCACGCGCCGGTCCCGCTTTACTCACCAGGAAAATCATTTAATTAATTCCTGGTACTCATTTCTGTTACGCGCCGGTCCCGCTTTACTCACCAGGAAAATCATTTAATTAATTCCTGGTACTCATTTCTGTTAGAAGCTGAGAGAACCCCAGGGCCTAGTGCGGCTGGAAGGATTGGGTCAATTGAAAAAATCCAATGTCCTCATCCGGACTTTAACCCGCAACCTTCCGGCTTATCAAATTGAAATCTCAAATTGGGTCGCAGCTTTGGAAAACTTAAACGATTAAATGGATATTAATAAGCATTTGAAACTATTAGAGAGAATATAAAAATGTTTGCCAAGGAGAGTCTAGGTTGTTATAAATTGAAGAAGCTAAGCCATGGTTCGATGAAGGATGCTCAATATTATTAGATGAAAGAAACAAGCCAAATTTCAGTGGTTACAGGATCCAAGCGAAATAGTTAGGGATAATCTGAACAATATAAGACGTGAAACCAGCAGGCATTTCAGGATAAATGAAGGAATATCTGTAAGATAAAATCGATGAACTTGCAATGAACAGTAATAAGAACAACATTAGAGACCTGTATAAGGGAATAAATGACTTTAAGAGGGGTTTCCAGCCTAGCAGTAACTTAATAAAGGATGACAATGGTGATCTGCTTGCAGATTATTGAATGTACAGTCAGTGATGCTAGGCAGATAGAAATGCACAGAGCTGAGCCGTTAACACCTGATCCTAGCCCTTTTGAAGTTGAAATTGCTATTGCAAAATTGGAAAGGTATAAATCGCCAGGTTGTGATCAAATTCCGGCAGAACTTGATCAAGCAGGAGGCGAAATATTACGTTCTAAGACCCAAAAGCTAATTACTTCTATTTGACATAAGGAAAAATTGCCTGATCATGGAAGGAATCTATTATTGTACCAGTTCACAAGAAGGGTGATGAAACTGACTGTAGTAATTATCGGGGGATATCATTGCTATCAACTTCATACAAAATTTTATCCAATATTTTCCTATCAAGGTGAAGTCCATATATATATATATATATATATATATATATATTAAATTTTTGGGGATCATCTGTGTAAATTTTGACGCAACAGATCAACTGCTGATTACATTTTGTTGGATTCGTCAGAAACTGTAGAAAAATTTGGAGTACAATGAGAAAGTACATCAGCTATTCATAGACTTCAAGAAAGCTTATGATACAGTTAGGAAGGAAGTATTGTACAATATTCTGATAGAGTTTGGGATATCCATGAAACTAGTTAGGCTGATTAAAATGTTTCGTGGCATAAATTTCTACCTCCATATTTATCCTGGTTCCACGAATGTGCGTGCTTGGGGCAATTTTTAGTGTATATTTTCCTGTTAGCTCACATGGATATAGCCAGAGTAGGTATCTTTCTTCACCTTGAGGACGGAAACAGATCCAGTTTTCGAAACGTTGTGTTTTTTCTCAGTTATTTAGAATCCGGACGATGGACAAAGTCTGAAAACCCAGTATCTCTGTGTGTTATACACCATCGTCAGGACTCTATATTATCTACTTGAGTTAAGTCCATATAGGTAAATATTTGTCTGATATAAATTTCATTTCCAGAATGGTCTAAAAGAAGGAGATGCTTTGTTGCCACAGCTTTTCAACTTTGCTTTGGAATATGCAATCACGAAGGTCCAAGAAAACCAGGTGGGACTGAAATTAAACGGGACACATCAGCTGTTGTTCTATGCCGAAGATGTGAATCTAATGGATGATACACAGATGCCACAAAGAAAGAAAAAATAATTAAATGGCGCTAGTGAGGAGGTTGGTCCAGAAGTAAACGCAGATAAATCTAAGAATATGTAGCTATATCGTCACTAGAATGCAAAGCAAAATCATGACCTAAAATACCTAACTGATGTTTTGTAAATATGGCACAGTTCAGATAGTGGGGAACGACTATAACAAATTAAAAACTGATTCAGGAGGAAATTAAAAGGTGATTGAACTCGGGTAATGCTTGCTACCATTCAGTCCAGAGCCTTTTGTCTTCTCATCTGCTAAGAACATAAAAATTAGAATACACAGAACTATAATTTTGCCTGTGGTTCTGTATGGGCGTGAAACTTGGTCTCTCACATTAAGGGAGGAACACAGAGTGAGGGTGTTTGAGAACAGGGCCTTGAGAATATTTGGACCCAAGAGGGATAAATTGACGGGAGGTTGGAGACAACTGCATAATGAGGAGCTTCATAACTTGTACTCTTCGTCAAGTATAACCAGAGTAACCAAGTAAAGGAGAATGAATGGGTAGGACATGTATCACGAATGGTGTAGAAGAGTAATGCATATAGGATATTGGTGGGAAAGCCAGAAGGAAAGAAACCAATAGGAAGACCAAGGTGTAGGTATGTGGATAATATTAAAATGGATCTTAGAGGGATAGGATGGGGTGGTATGGACTGGCTCGATCTGGCTCAGGATAGGGCCAATGGAGCAGCAATCCTGGTACTTATTTCTGTTAGAGATTGAATTTACCCCAGCTATATAGTGTGGCTGGAAGAATTAGGTCAATTGAGAAACCCAATGAGGTCATCGTGAATCGAACACGCGACCTTTCTGGCTTGTAACTTAGTGCCTCAACCACGTTACCGCGTTCCTCCGGAATTATACAGGGAAATTTTAAAATTATAATTGTGCCATTACTCTAAATATCGGAACGCTTAATTTATGGTTTGTGACAAATGGAGCTGTCTATTTCACCATGTTCCAACATGAAGAAATAACTCCCATTGAGTCTGTAACCATAAGCAATATAACATTCACTCTGTCAGATCAGAGAGTGATGATTCTGTATAAGACGAACATGTGGAAGAAGTGTGCAATGTGGGGGTAGCAGTCGGCGGGAAGTTTCGTGAATGGTGGACATACTGAGCACGTCTTGTAACAACTGCAACAAAACTTCAGTGTTGCCTATAGTTACAGGCGTATGCGTTATTTTGTAGGAAAGATGTTATGCATTTGTGCTACACAAGAAATTAAATTAAATAAAATAGCTTCAAAATTTGTCATTTAAAATTATTTTGAAACGATGAAGCAGCATTTTTAATTACATTATTTTACTCCTCGACGTTTAAATGTTCGTAATTTGTATCCTTTCACCAAAGTAATTGCTTATTATACAAAATGAAGGAAATTACCGGAGGAGCTCTGAATACTGTTCTTACGTTCAGTAACTCATTTGCAAAATAGAGAACACAAATTGCATGATTGTTCTCACTTAACCACCTAGCTAAATAACTCTCCGGGTATATACACCGTAAGTTATAAAAATAGGACCGTCGCTTAGGGCAAATCTGATCTCACATACTCGTATTTCAAAATAAAAGCAATTTGTGGCGTTTTGTGTTCCTATAATCAACAACATGGATTCAGGCTAGCTATTATTTTTTTATTGCTAGTGGGGTGGGACTAAGTCCCTTGTACTGCCGCCACTTCTGGCCTATTGTACCAGCCCCAGACGATAGGCGAGGGTGATTGTGGGGCAACTGGGGGAAACCGAAGTACTCGGAGAAAATCTGCGCCAGCGCCACTTTGTCCACCACAAATCCCACTTGACCAGACCCGGGATCAACTCCAGGCCGCCGCGGTGGGAAGGGTGTTGGTAAAAGTTTTGTGTTGACAGGAATATAACAGACATTGTCTATACTAAGGAAGACGGTCACGGTAGCCGAGCGTTCTAAGGCATGCACTGTTTTCGCTCGCTCGGAAGCCGGGATCGTGGGTTCGAATCCCACATACGGCATGGATGTTTGGTGTGTGTATGCATTTATTCTGCGTTTATGTTGTCCTGTGTTTAGGTAGAGGCCTTGTGACGAACTGATAACCGTCCAAGGAGTACTACCGTCTGTAAAAATGATCAATGAAACTGAGAAATCAGTCCTATGCTCTAAAGTTGGAGCGAAGAGGAAGAAAAAACCGAGTTAAAAGCATTTGCTATAAACTCTTGCAAATGGAAAGACCCGGGTGTTGAAATGTATATAATGGCCCTGAGAGTAATTCTTCTACAAGAACAAGAAACTGATCCTCAGCAGTCTTCTAATTGAGGAATTCCGGTCTATCAACAAGGCCTGAGCGGTGCAGTTTCGCACGCCTGCGAAGCCAGTGTTCGGATTGGTTAGTTAACTACTCAGTAGTCTCATTGCCATGTCAGTAATTATTAATTAAGTCAGTGTATAGCTGCGCTGCTTCTACTGGCTTTATTAGCAACGGGGCTTAATTGTTGTAAATGGAGCGCGGTCAGGCGCTGAGTGTGAGGCACGCATGTCCCGTCTCTGTCTCAGGCCGCATGCAAGCACTGGACGATGGCTGCTTCCAATGATGTCATCGCGGGCGAAAGCGGTCACAAAGGGCGTGCGAAAAAAGACGCCCAATATCTCTCGCCTCACTAAGTACTGTAGAAGAGTGTTAATTGTTGGCATGTTGAGAAGAGCTGACAAGTGGCGCAGTTTTCCAGCAGCCGACAACGAAATGCTGATAATCGTTCAGTAAAACTAGAAGCAAACAAGCTGCAAGAAATAGCGTGACTACGGCAGAGGGACGGGTAAGTGACTGCTGGAATGTTCACAGAATCTCAGTATAATAGGCAGCCCTATCTTGGTTAATGTACAGATCTTATTGTTCTAAATTTATTAATATTCTTTCTCTCAACGTAACCAATTAAAACTACTCCATTACAAATCAGACCACTTCTGTGTAAAAAAGCGCAGAACTGATGGTAGTCGCTGTTCACTCTTTCACATGAATTTATCATAAAGTAACAAAGGAAGTGGATACCTTCTGATGTCATAATATTTTAATTTTAATTAAGAACAGTGTGTAATTTGACCATGGCCGAGAAATGAGAAATTTGTGCAAAATGCCAATCGGAAAGTCTCGGAGACCTAGACACAGATATGCGAACTGCGATGTCAAGGGGCGCCAGGGTAGCGTAGCCGGTATAGCAACTGACTAAAGGTTGGACGGCCCAGGGTTCACAGTTCGAGTCCCACTAGAGGCAAGATTTCTCTTCTCCTCACTTCGTCCATACCGGCTCTTGGGTCCACCCAGTCTGCTGTCCAGTGGGTACTGGGGGCTCTATCCCCGAAAGTAAAGCAGCCGGGGCGTGAAGCTGACCATTCACGTACATCTAGTTGCGAGGTCAAGGATACGTGGCTCTATACATCCACTTCCCCATACATGCCCATGTCTTCATGGCGTAGTGCTTAATTAGTTAAGCAAAGGAGGGACTTTACCTTTCTTCCCTTTACTAGAATATCTAGATGTTGACAGGATTCAGGACAGGATCCAGTGGCGCACTTTTCTGGGCAGCTTTGCGTTCCGCAAGAGTCAAGGAATTTCTAGGATAGCTGAGAAAGTTTCTGGCCCACTCATTTAGTTAGACACCCATAGCTACACAAAAACTTACCCCACTATTTTGTATGGTTTTAAGGCACAGTCTCTTATATTAAGAAAGTAGGATACTTAATTATATATCGTATATATACCTTTTAGCAAGTTATATAGGCTTACCCTATTTTAAAGACAGAAGCAGGGGTGGAAGAATAATATTAAAATAGATATTAAGGAACTCGACTCTAATGAAATTTTTCTGGCTCAGAATTGGACTCCAGGAAAGGATTTACGTCAACAGTTCCGAAGTTTTGGCCAATATAACAGAGAAACAACATATCTTTCGCCATCATTAGTTAGACCATAAACGTGTAACGTACCGTGTTTCTTTCTTACTGAAAACCGTGATAACACAACAATCGATAATACGTGTAAGTAGCTCTAGGAGATACTGTGATTCGGAATTTTCCTGAATGATACCTCTGAGATGCGTATTCATTTCGACAGTTTCTTAACACGAGTGTTGTGATAGACTAGTGGCGCTTTCTGCAGAATATCTCGATTCACTATCACAACCACGTGACCTGTCTGCAGGATCCGAGGCGGTTACGATGAATTTTGCCTTCTGGAATACAATGGCGTGTAGTCCGTTGGAGGTGACGCGACGTATCGGAGGAGCATGTCGCCTCCATCTTCAGGGTCGAAGGATAAGCTAAGCGAGAAACGAACATCAAAGCAGGTGGCAAACAGATCTCTACCGACACTTTAGTTGGCCTTCAACGGACTAGGCGGCGTTATGTTCCAGAAGATAGAGCTCTTCACTTAACCTCTTGTTCCTCTTTCTGAAAAAGTATGCGAAATGCAAAATTGTCATTTACAAAAATCGCTGTTTTCTTTACTGAGATTCTGAACGCATTGTCCCATATAGTCCGACTGTGTTCTGTGATTCTCCAATTGAGACAATTAATTTACTTCATTGCCTAAATTTAAGATGGCCGTTTATGTAACAGCACGAAAAAGAAAAACACACACACTGGTTCATACACCCGATGTGCTTTTGTTTCTTCGAAGAATCACATTTCATTAAATTTCTGTATCCCTTTCTGGCACCTAAAGATCTACTAGAACCAGTTTTTGGTGAAAACAAAGTCCGTGATTTTCTCGAGTCTGTGTGGCCCCTAGAGGTGATAGTTATTCTCTTGTAATTAAAGACAATTGTCTCTTCTCCACACTGTCGTAATGCGGGCGATAATTACGTCATAGGCCTGTACATGATTACAGGGAAGACTTATCGTTCTTCCGTTTAGCTCCCTCCCTCGCCGAAAACTTCTGTAGGCTTCAATTTTAAGCCATTGACTGCCATATTCGTTTTGTAAAAATGATGATAAGGATGCTAGGACAGTTAGAAATTTCCTTCTTTATATTCGTTTTAATTCAGAAAAAAAAAGGACTTGTCAAGCAATTAAACAGATCGAGAAAGGGCGTGAGAAAGTAGGTTTGGCCAGATTCTCGCTCAGCACAACACAACACAACACAAGCAACTCTCATGAATACCCAGAAGCAGCTCACTTACTTCTCAATTGGATAAATGGCTCTTGCAGTATTAACGCTTTCAACCTCATCACACCAACTTGCAGCATGAGTAACTGCAGTTTTAATTTGGCTGTAATTCTGTAGCATGATCATTATGTGCTTTGCTTCATCATTTGTAAGCCTGTATATGCATTCTTTGTTGATTTGCTTTACTTTCTTATTGTTTTCTGCCTTTATTTGCGGGAAACTTGGGGTAATAGGGATCATCAGTTGACTGAACACTCGTAGTGTCAGCGGGACACGAGATATCAAAACAAGCTTCAAGGAGAGGTTTTCTTAAAACATGACTGGCATAATATGAGGTCATGGAGAGTGTAAAATCATTAAGGCCTCTAAGGGATCCAGTGTTATTTACTTAAAAATGGGGAAATTTTTAAGCACAGGGCAAGCTGTGCATCTGATCTTCAATTTACCAGCATAGTATTATAATTTACAAGCATTTGGGAGTTCGATTTATGAAATCCCGAAATAATTGTTACACCAATCCTGAATTTCTTGAGATATGGGTTTTCAGATATCACAATCTCAAATATTATTCAGAAATTCTGTTCTGATATCCCAAGGAGTTAGGTGAGGCCTATAATTCTGGAAAATAAAATCCTTAGGGAACTTGATTCCGGGCTCCAAAGTTCGACTTTGTGGTTCCAGAATCAGAGAGATTATGAACTGTTGGCACAGAAATCTGGATTTCCTAAATCAAAATTCTTAGGAAATTAGTTCGCTTTCCTTGTTTAAAGATTTCGTCAATGTACTAAATATTCAGTTTCCAAAATCATGCTCGTACATTCGGTTTCCAAAATCTTACAGCTAGACGTGTTTACTCAACACACTGTTTCTACTAATACTAATTTTAGAGGCATATAAGCAATCCATATTCGAGCCATGAGTTTACTTACCGTTAGGTACTGTTTGACAAAAGCTCATCTCAGAAATCAGGGCTTATCTACCACGCTTAATATGCCTTAACAATATTTTAATATCCATATTTCCACATGAAACTTCACAAATTCTCGAAGGCAATGGAAACAGTTATGACACACCGAACGACATAGGAGTTTACCCTGAATTTGATTTCATAACAAAGAGTGGCGGTTTTTGAATCTCCAAAGTAAATTTATTTAAAGTTATAGTTGCACCGTATATGGAGGGGGAGGGGGCATGGACACAGTACTTTGACCAAATTAGTTCTGCTCGCATTAAAATGATTATAAAGGCTATCTTCTGTGTAAGGTAAAACCACTATCACAAGGTTAAGCAGTGAGCCCCATAAAGGGGTCCACACACGTAGGAGTCTGGCTCGGCGAGCTTGACTTGGGAGCCGGGCTCGGATTAATTTCATCACACACGCATGAGCGTGGCGACCCACATACGGACGAGTTTGGCTCATTGGAACCCGAGCCGAGTCGGACTCGCGAGCCAGACTCCTATATGTATGGGCCCCTTAAGTCTCTGGCAGCCCACGAAGAGTCCAGTCTAACCGTTCTGATATTAAGATCGGCCTGTTATTATTAAGATACCCTTGCTTAACGTTTACGTTTTCGCACATACCTGTACACTGAAAGTATGGTGGAGCACGCGGTGTCGTAGTTGGTTGAGGCACTGTGCTACAAGTCGGAAAATCGCGGGTTCGATTCCCCATAAGGTCATTATATTTTTCAATTTAACCAATCCTTCCAGCTGCACTATGGCCTTGGGGTCGACTCAGCCTCTAACAGACATTAGTACCAGGAATCTTCAAGGGGCCAAAGAGCGGCAGGTGCGTAAGGCTGACAATCTCACCGTAATTTGTGAGCCGATTATCTAGAGAAAATGTGAGAGCCTAGTCGTCTCACGACCCTATGGGCCTTCAAGGCCTCTTACAGTGACAGCTTTACCATTTTTAAACAAAAAGTAAGAAACCGTAATACACAATAAACAAATCAATAAAATCTAGATTTTGTTGAAATCGCAAGGTTTTATGTCCTAGTGGTCACATTTTATGCTTTCATTTGGGTTTATACTTACAACTGTACATGAACGAGATGAGTGCTGTCGGTCTCAGCTTGGGTGACTGCATAAGCACGTTTACTCAGCGCGTACGATCGATAAGTATTTAACAATATTTGAAGTGCACAACTTTCCTAGCGAGGCCGTACGGTCCTGGTTCGCAACGAGGTGGCCCTGACCAGTCCCAGAGTTACTGCATTCGAGCTACTGGTGTTTCTTAACACGGGTTTCAAAAGTGAATGAAAAAAAGAATTTTGGAGTCATTGCAGAAATGTGCTATGCTTAACGAAGTTCTTCGATGAAATGAATTTCCGGATGATTTACTAACTTGCTCCATGGCGAGGCTGTATAGAGGAGGAATTTGAAAATGAAGTCAATTAAATAATATATATACGAGTATTTTTCCATGTTTCTTCCAGTTCCGTCGGCATGTTCGTGTGAAGACTTTCATGTCATCCGGACTGATCAACATGAGTGTGTTTGTAATGTATTTGCGATGGATAATACAAAATGGAGCAGGAATGTACTTTGTGACAGAGCAGAAACGGTTTGCACGTTGACATGTCTGTGGTCAAAGAAGGTCTCGCCTGTCCCTTAAGCAGATAAGATACAAAGAATTTCAGATTAACATAA